CAATTAACTCCACTAATCCATTTACTTACATCAAAACGAGCCTGTGAATACTTCTCAAATTTTAAGGTTATGTTTGGATAAGCTTTTTCAAAATACTTTCATGTTTCAACATCAAGAAAAAAATGCTTCAGCATTTGATAAGGTGATTTTTTTTTTTAAGAAAAAACACTTGTACAACAAAAAGCATGAAATCATTTTTTTTCACTTTGTGCTTCGAAAGCCAAATGTGCTTCTCACAAAAAAAAAAAAAAAAGATGTAAATGTATATACATCAAATGGTAAAATTTAGGGCTGTTCACAAAAATCACCAAACCGACCAAACCAATCCCATATAGCCAGTTTTTAAAGTTTTTGGGTCAGTTTTGGTTCATCATCAATGTGTATAAACCGAATGGTTGGTTTGATTTTCGGTTTGTAAGTTTATAAACCGAAAATAACCCGACCCAAACCAATTATATCTTATTATGATTAATTTTTAACATCTCTATGTATTCAGTCTTTTATATTACTTTCCTCTCTTACAAGCTAACTTGTGAAACACTTAAGTGTTATATAATAAATGTTATTTAGTAAATGATGCTATTTAACAAAAGTAAACTTCATCATAACTGTGGAGCTTTGTAAGTTGAGCTTGGTGTAGATGTTCGATCCACTTCCTGTTAAAAGGGAAGATTCTGCATATCTTCTATATGAAGCCTGGTCAATATCTTGTATATATATCTTCCTTTTATATTCCAGAATTGTAGCTAGTCATATCCCTTGATTCTTGTATAACTGTATAATATCAATACAAGGAAGGAAGCTTGTTCTGCTCTCTATTCTGTCGACCCTTCTGCTATTCTTCTGCTTTTCACCCTTCTACTATCCTTCTTTTTTTCATGGTACCAGAGCAAGACTAAGATCCTAACTCAATCATCGCTACACTCTATTCCTTCATGTAGCATCTCTTCATCTTTTCCGTCTTCATGGCCAACGATAATATGACTCCTACTCTCGGCAAGATCAGTGTCAATTCTGGTATATCCAAACCAGGAATTATTATTACCCCCACAAATATCTCCAATCCTTATTTCCTTCACCATTCAGATCATCCAGGTTTGGTCTTGATTTCCAAACCTTTGAATGGAGACAATTATTCTGCTTGGAAGAGGACTATGACACTGGCCTTGAATTCCAAGAACAAGCTATGTTTTGTCAATGGCTCAATCAAGGCTCCTTCAGAAGAAGCTGATCCTAAAGGTTATGCGACTTGGTCACGATGCAATGATATGGTCCATTCCTAGATTATTAACACTCTCAGCCCATAAATCTCAAACAGTGTGATCTATTATTCTTTTGCTCATGAAGTTTGGGAAGATCTCCGTGAGCGTTTCTCTCAAAATAATGCACCTCATATCTTTGAGATTCAGCGAGATATTGCTTGTCTTCAACAAGAACAACTCTCTGTCTCTGCTTATTATACAAAATTGAAGAGCCAGTGGGACGAATTGGCAACATATTCAGACACAGCATATGGGACGCAAGTTGATTAACAAAAATTAATACAATTTTTAATGGGTTTGAATGAATCTTATAATGCTATCCGCGGGCAGATTCTCCTAATGAATCCGCTTCCTTCTGTTTGTCAAGCCTCCTTTTTAGTCGGTCAAGAGGAGAAGCAGCGACACTTGAGTTCAACCCATTCCGATGCAAAATCTAGTGCTGCTATGGCTGTGCGTAGTTCGACAGAAACAAAGAAAACTAATCGACCTTATGGTTCCC